CACTCACCTCAGCCTCCCAAAGGCGCAGGATTACAGGCTGAGCCACCGAACCCGGCTAAAACAGTTCTTGAATGCATCATTTTGGATGCTTTTTAGTGTTTCTGCCGTTTTTTACCCACCTCTTCCACACTTTAACCTTTGAGGACTTTTTTCATTCAAGGAAACAAAAAAGCCGCTTGGGGTGAGATCAGGTGAACAGGGAGGGTGGGGTATGGGGGCTGTGCTGTCTTTGGTCAAAATCTGCTGAACACTCCGTGTATGTGGGCAGCACACTCATAAATCACTCATCAAGGGCAAATGTGTTAAAAGAATCTCCAAAACCAGTTCACTGAAGCCAAACACAGTCTCCTACAACACTAGCTGGTACACAGATGCCCATGGGGTCCTAGAACAGTTACCTAGTCGGGGGGAGCCAGTACTACAAGGGGCCCAACCCCGAAAAACTTACTCCGGATTTTTGGGGGTCCTCCCTCATATAATCCTAATATATTTATATTAAATGTGCCCAGCTGACACATCAGCTAAATAAAGGATTGTCTGCCATAACGGAATAACTGACTTGTGAGAAGTAAGCCAAATCTGAGGAAGCAGATAGTAGACAAGTGTCCTGACCACCAGGTGTCACCACTGGCCCTGGGGGACGGAAGAGCAAAACAGTCTAGGCCTCAGAGTAAGGCTGTCACCTGCGCCTGCGGGACATTCACAAGCTGATTTAGGCCTTTCAGCATCTTAAGAGGTGGTCTGCTGGGTGTGGAGTCTCACGCCTGTCATCCCAGCACTTTGAGAGGCAGAGGAAAGAGGATTGTCTGAGCCCAGGGGTTGGAAACCAACCTGGGGAACTTGGCAAGAACTCGTCTCTACGATAAATCAAAAAATTAGCCAAGCATGGTGGCACGTGCCTGTAATTCCAGCTACTTGGAAGGTTGAGGCGGAAGGACGGCCTAAGCCCAGCAGGTCAAGGCTGCGATGGCCATGAGCGTGACACTGGGCAACAGAGTGAGATTCTAACTCAAAAAAAAAAAAGAGGTGGTTCAATATTTTGGTACCATTCTAAGTGACATTGTTCTCACACAGGTGTGTTTAAAATGACTGTATGATTAATGAGTGGGATATCCATATGTCATCATAATTTAGTTTAAAAACTATCCTCAGTGGACTGTTTTTGAAATTTTGTTCCATATATCCTTCGGTTTAGCCAAGTAGACATTTTCTGGCTTCCTCAGGTTCAATATTGCCACAGCAGACAAATTTCTGGCCCCAATTCCACAACCCAATGACATTCTTTCCTTTACATTCTTAGTGGGATGCCAGATAAAAGGAAAGCAGTGTATTTTTAGGGTAAATATAAAGTCTAAGACCAGCATATATGGGTCATATAAATCCTATCAACCCTGCTCCTTGACCTCAGGAACTCAAAGCATCATTTTTTAAAAAAAAGTCCTTTGTTTTCTATTTTTGAAAGGAACACTTTGGGGTAAATCTGTCAACCTGTGAATCGTTCTTTAGTGACTCAGGGAACACTGTCACTCCTGGCACTACCCTGCAAACCTGTAATGACTCTCCCCGGGGGTGTCCAGGGACTCATTTCAAAACGAGGGCAGGGTCTAGGTTCCCTTTCTGGTTCCGAGTCCCCCAAGCTGAGACCCCGCAGTGGCCACTCCAAGAAGGGCAGGCATGGAGCGCTCAGCTGGACACGCAGCCCAGGGATGCGGCATCGACCGCAGCCAGGTCTGCCAGGAACACTTGACTCAAGCCAAGCCCGGCCAGGCCCACCCCGCCCCAGGCTGGGCGGCCAAGTCCCCGGCTCGTCCCACCCGGGAGAAGGTGGCGGGCGAAGCGCAGGTTTCTGTTCGGCTCGAACACTCCTGGAGCTGCCGCTGCTGGGGCTATTTTTGTTTTTCTTTTAGCAGCTCGAGTTCCACCTTCATTTCACCATCATGGACACAAACCAGAAGCATCGTCTCCCTCCGGCTCCAGCCCCCATTCCTGGAGGATTTGGAAGGGAGGAGCCGATGCCGGGAACCATCTGGAAGCGCGGGCGCGGGAGCCAAGGCCGGCCGAGATGAGCGCATCTGCAAAGCCCTTTCCAGATCAATACACCCCTGGTCGAGTTCGGCCCGGTCCGCGGGGAGAGGCGAGGTCACGGGCGCGGGCGGGCGGGCGGCCCGGGCGGGGATGCTGCGCGCGGGGCGGAGCGCGCCCGGCGCCGGCGACTCACCTGGAGGACTCGGCCGCGAAGCTGCCACCGTCCAGCAGCCGCATCTTGCAGAAGAGCACGCCGTTGACGAAGGGCACCGAAGAGAGCTCCTCGAGCTCGAAGTCCACCTTGAACTTGAACTTCTTCTTCTTCATCATCGTGAGCACCCGGCGCCTGCGAGCGGGGCGCGCGGCCAGGGGCCTCCGCCTCAGCTCGGCGGA